CACAGAAGAGCAGATCCGTCACAGCACACCCCTGTTGCAGGAGACCCCCGTCACCGGGCACCCCATCACCGGGCACCCCATCACCGGGTACCCCCGGCACAGGGAACCCCCCGGGAAGCGTGGTTGCCCTCAAAACTGCTACATTTCTGTCGGAAAAAGCCCTTTTGCCCTGGCGTGCGCTCAGCCCGAGCACGAGCTCCGGTGCCTGGGCACGGTTTGTCTGCAGAGCCCCGCTCTGCCCTCCGCCGGCTGCCCGCGGCCCGGGAAGGCTTCAGGCGCTGAGTGTTGCTGTGAAGAGTTTTCATGCCGCAGGTTTAGCACAAGCAAACATGCCAAGAAGCTGAGCCCTGCCCACCCCGCTTCCCTGCCCCGCAATTCCTCTCGCTGATAACCCCGGGGCGCCGGCCCGGCGCCGCTCGCCCCACGGCCCCGCAGCCCGGAGAGCCTCCCCGGCCTCCGGAGCGGGGTAGGGGACCTGGGAAACCCCTCCAGGGCCATCGTCCCGCTCGGGATGAAGACAGGGAGCTGGATTTGGAGTTTGGAACAACTCGTGCTTGGGCAGCAGCTCTCTGCTCCCAGTTCGAACATCCTTCTGGTGTTTGTTTCACCTGTGCTTGGGCACAAACTCGCCCGGTGCCCACACGCCGTGGGCAGAGACCCCTCGGGAGCCCCTGTGCTGCCCAGCAGGGCCCAGTGCCCACCCCGGGATGGCTCTGCTGCTGCAGCCCCTGCAGCCAGCTGCCAGCAATGGGAAGGTGGTGCCAGAGCTGGAACAGCTGCAAACCCTGATAAACCCTTGGAGGGTGAAGAGCGGGGTCTCCGGGGTGTCCTGCAGGAACAGCTGCCCACAGCCAAGCTTTGGCCCAGGCACAGCACCCGGGGTGTTTAATGCAAGGTCGCACGGTGACAAAATAAACCCAGACAGAAACTTGGCCTGGCCGTGGGGGAGCCGCGGGCAGGAGCAGCCCGTGGGAACCCTCGGGGTGCCTGCCCAGACCTCGCTGAGCCTCCCGAAGGCACCGGGCTGGGCTCGCCCGTCCCAGAGGGACAGAGGCTCCGCGGGGAGCCCGGCGCTGCCACAGCTGCCTCTCGTCTGCAGGAGCCTCGGCCGGGTGATTAATCTTTTGTCACAGAGGAATCGGGAGAAGCAGCGATTAATAAACGCCAGGCCCAGGCAGGAACCCGCCGCAACCATCGCCCTTCCCTGGCGGCGCTCGGGGTGCGCCGGGCACGGGCGCAGCGCAGATCTCCCCGGGGAACCAGGGTCAGCGCTGTTTGACGAGGAGGAATCACCAGCGGGAGGATGTTTGTTTTTGTAGCAGCTGGATGTGTCTCGGGAAGGGATGGGAACGTCTTCTGTCACTCGTGGGCCGGGAGGAGGCTGGCGGGGCAGGGATAAAGCTCCTGACAAGTTTGGACTAGCCGGCGAGTTGATTAGCTGAGAGATGAAAATTCACAGCTCGGCGCTTGCAGGGGCCGTGAGCTGCTGGAGGGATGTTTATGGGAGGGGAGAGCGTCCCGTGCCCGCCGCCCGGCCCCGGCGCTGCTGGGCCCGCCGTGCCCGAGGGGCCCGGCAGGGCTGGGCAGGGCACCTGGGACAGCAGCGGGACCCCAGGGCAAGGACACCCGCGGAGCCGCACAGCCCCGCAAAGCCATGGATCTGCACAGCCATGGAACTGCACAGCCCCGCCATCCATGGATCTGCACAGCCACACAGATCCGTGGATCTGCACAGCCATGAATCCGCACAGCCCCGCCATCCATGGATCTGCACAGTCCCGCACAGATCCATGGATCTGCACAGCCCCGCCATCCATGAATCTGCACAGCCACATAGATCCATGGATCACAGCCCCGCCATCCACGGATCTGCACAGCCACACAGATCCATGGATCTGCACAGTCCCGCCATCCATGGATCTGCACAGCCACACAGATCCATGGATCTGCACAGCCATGAATCTGCACAGCCCCGCCATCCACGGATCTGCACAGCCCCGCACAGCCCCGCCATCCACGGATCTGCACAGCCACACAGATCCATGGATCTGCACAGTCCCGCACAGCCCCGCACAGCCACGGACCCGCACTGCTGGGAGCTGGGGCTGCGCGGGGCCAGGCGGGGACAGAGGGGACCAGGGGACTTTGTGGCTGCCCCGACTCCTCCACAGGCCTCCGTGGCCACCCCAACAGCCCCACAGCAGCCTGGACACGTCCCACGTCCCTCCGCGGCCGTGGGCACCGGGCTCTGACAGCGGGCACTGCCTCGGGAGATAATTTGAGGCGAGGGTGACAAAGAAAGCCGGCCTGGCGAGTGCAGGCACTCCTCAGCTGAGAGCCCGGGCTGGGCTGGGTCTGATGGGACCGATTACCCGCTGATAGACAGAGATAAATGTGTACAGCTGGAGGCAGAATAAATCGATGCTATATGTTGTATAATTGTCTTGAAAATAAGGTAATGCCGGGCTCTTGGAATGCTTTGATCTTATCAGAAAGACAAGGAATACACTAATGGCTTTAATTAGACTTTGGGGATGAAATGAATTCAGCCTCCTGGGTGAGCTGGTTTCTGGAATTGACCACTGGTGGGGATAGAAAGGCTTTAATCAGATTTAGGCTCTTTAATACCCACAACAGTGTGTGTCTGCATGTGTGATACAGACCTGCTGCTCACGGTGTTTGGGGGGCTCTGAAGGCTGCATGTGCTTGGGCCAGAGAGACATTTCTCAGTGTTCTTTTCCAGCTGAGTTTAAGCTCAGCAGAAGCTACTAGTTTTATTTATTGACTTCTAAGTTGAAAACAACTTGTCAAAAAGCAGGGGAAAGCTGGGAATCATTTAGCTTCCCAACAGCAGGATCATGGCAGCGGCTCGGCAGCGAAGCAGCAAGCTGGTCATGTATTTAATTGTTAATTATTGCATATACCGGCTACAGCTGAAGCAGGGGACAAGCTTCTTGTCTCTCCAGGAGCCCGTGTTTGTGCTGCCCCCGAGAGCACCCGAATAAGCAGCGTTTGGTGCACAGAGGAGGAGCAAGGTCTGACTCAGCGCCGTGACTCAGCGGGTGCAGCCGCGGCTCGTCCCGGCTGGTGTGGAGGGGTGGGGATGTCCCAGCTCTGGGGGGCTCTGCCTCTGCTCCCCCCACGCCTGTCAGGCCACGGCCCCGAGTGTCCCCCGAGCAGCCCCACACCAGCATCCCCCAGAGCCCGAGCTTTGGCTGGGATTTCTCAGAGCCTGCACCTGACGTTCCCTTGGTTGTTTCCCAGCAGAACCGGAGTGCTTGCTAAGCAGCAGCAGCCCAGATGCTGACGCTGAACAAGCCGCAGTTACTCCTCCTGGGCTGTGTTTATGCCTTCCCTGCTGTAACTGCAGGCTTGGATTATTTTGGTCGGTTGACATTATCTGTTGTGCTTCCCTTATGTTAATTTGCTGGGCTTCGATGAGCTCCTGAAAAGGATTTAATAACACGAGCTGCTGCCAATGAAAGCACAACCTTGCTCAGCAGTCACTGTGCAGCCAAGCCCTGGGCTGGCCGAGCCTCCAGGCGCGCTCTCAGCTCCCTGTGAGCAGCTGAGGTTCCGTGGGAGCTCAGCGAGGCCAGGGCTTGCCCCCCAGGCAAAGGGGGTGCTCCCAGCTCTGCCGAGCCCTGAGCCCCCCAGGGGCACCCTCGTGGTGCTGGAGACGGGGAAAGCCCCAGCTCAGCCTTGGTGTATTTGGTGGTTCTGGCTCAAATGGCCCCCAAATTAGGGAGCCAGGATGAGACCGCAGATCCCCAGGGATGCCCGTCCTGTATCCCTCATCCCAGAGGGGTGACACACACCAGTGTGGTGGGGGGATCCACCCTGACCCCAGGGGAACATCACAGGGCCATGGACCCCTCGTGGGTGCCCCACTCTGAGGGGAGAGGAGGATGCAGGAGCACAAGGGGAGGAAGGGCACGCCAGGGACCCGTCCCCCCACAGCACCCCACTCACACTGCCCCAGGACGTGAGATCACCCGTGTGTGTGGGAAAGCTCCTCACCTCGGCACAAACACACACACGCTTAGTAACATAATCTCTTAAAAGCAAAATCCCAGAAATTCCTTTTTCTTCGTGGAAAAAGTTGCCTGGGGGAGAAGCTCATAATGAAGGATGAAAGCTTAATCCTTGAAGCAGAGCAGGACTGGGGGGGAAGAGTATAAACATGACAGTTGTTGCTCAGTGAGTCAGAAAAAAAGGGTGAAGGGATGAAAGTTGTGGTGGGGCAGGAGGGCGAGGGCTGTGGGGATGGGCTGTGGGAGCCCTGCAGCTCTTCCTCCCTGCCCGGGCCATATCCATCACTCCAGAGTTTCCCAGGACAAGTGCACAGGTGATCCTGGCAATTCCAGGAACAGAAAAATGCTCTGTGCTCCGGTGAGCCAAGGTGGGAGAGTAAATGGTGCTCTGCACTCGGGTAATTCACTGCTGGGGACAGCCCTGGGTGACCAGGTGTCAGCATTAAAACACTGGGAAGGAGCTTCAATCAACATCAGGCACTGAGCATTATAAAATAAAGCAGCAGTGTGTCTGATTGATTTCCCCACGTTTTCTGAGCTGTCAGCATGGACACTGACAGTGCTCAGAAGAAATGCACTGAAGGAAGCAGCTGTGCAGCACCTCACTGCCATCCCTCAGTAACCTGCCTTCTGCAAAGCCAGAGAAACCTGTTCAAATGAAAGCTAAACCTCTGCAGTGCTGCCTGGTTGAAGCTGAGGCAGGGCAGTGGCAGGAGGAGAACACAGCTCACAGCTGGGGACAAGGACACAGGGGTTGTGCACTGGTGGCCCATTTAGGGTAGTGGAAGGAGCTGGGCTGATGGTTTGGGGCAGAAATGGGAATTTTCCATAGCGGCTCTTGACAGGTCCAGGGAGCCAGGCCAGGTCAGAGCCATTGTGTGTCCCAGGAGGCCCCAAGAGAAAAGCTCCCCATTCTCAAAGGGGTTTTCCTTGCACAGCATCCCCGGTCTGAGAGGGAAAAACAAACAAGTTCCACTTCTTTATTTTTAATTGGCAGTGGAGCAGCAGAGGTGGGGTTACACTCTCCAGAGCCCAACCTGCTCTGTCTTTGCTCACTGCACAGCAACGCTGTTTATGGACTCGGATTCCAACCTTCTCCTCTCTCAAGGCTGTGAAGATGTATTTCCTCTTGTGCCATTTCTCCTTCTGGCAAGCAGGCTCCCAGGTGGGTCTGGAAAATGTCAAAGTGGGAAATAAAGTTGTTCGCTGAAAAAAAAAGAAAAAAAAAAAAGAGAGAGAGAGAGGAAAAGGGGAAGGACAAAAAGGAACAAGCCCAGAGGTGCAGTGCGAGGTCTGCTGGGAGCCCTGAGGAAGGAGTGTGAGCACTCAGACTCAGGGCAGGATGGAATTCCCACCCTGTGCCACCACGGCTCCGTCAGCACGGCTCAAGGCTCTGAACTTTTCATCCCTGGAGCGGGCTAAAACCACAGGGCAAGACAGAAAGAAATAAAAACAACCCGAAGCTGACCTCTCTGGCCTGCAAAGGACAGCAAAGAGCAGGCAGGCACCTGCTGGGCTGTGGCTCTGGCCCTGCAGCAGTTCTGCCTGAGGGACCCTCACCCTGCCCAGGCAGCGGAGCCCCAGCACAGAGGTGACAGGTGGCACCACCACAGGTGACACCACCACAGGTGACACCACCAGGCTGCTGGCGCAGTGCCACCTCCACCTGCCGAGCTGCCTGGCAGGAAAAGCTGGACCTGCACGTGCCCGTGAGCGTGAGCTGGGAAGGGCGTCGGGGCTGGGCACAGATGCTGCAGATTAGGGAATGAGGAGCTGGGAGGGTTCTGCTGAAGACATTTTTCCATTCGTGAGGCCATGGGGTGGAGCGGGCGAGCGGGGGGGCAGCGCCTGCAGCAACAACAAAAGGCAGAGCAAGGGGGAGGGGAGCACGAGGGAGAGATTTTTGATTCATACTCAAAAATTACCCAAACTTTATTGCCAGAATGTCTACATTTTTATGTGCTTAAGCACAGTGAGTTATGGAAATCTTAGAACAATGGAATGATCTCCTTCATTGCCCTCAATGCGTTCAAAGTCACCACCCCTCCTCACCAAGAGGAATCTCTTTTTCTGTTTTACTGACTTCCAAAAATGCCTCTGCTATCAACACCCTCCACGTGCATCTCATAAATACCAGGGTGGGACACGGGGCTATTGGTGTGTGTTTTTAATAAACCCATCTCTGCCCCAACCCTTCCTCAAGAAAGTTTTTATGGCATTCGGTTGATTTGGCAAATTTTCTGCTATAACCTGCCTGAACAAGAGGGGCTGTGAATTCCTTGATTCAGGTCCAAGCTCGGAGCTTTGTGGCTCCCCTGCTCTTGTCTTTGCTCTGTGGGAGTCCCTTATCTGTCAGTCACGTACTGATCTGATAAATCCTCGGCCTCCCCGTGTGCGAGCGCTGCAGGGCGTGCCTCGCTCGCTCCGTCTGCCAGGTGAGAGCAGCAGCGCCAGCAGTGCAGCGCCAGCAGTGCAGCTCCAGCACGCGCTCTGCAGCCCCGAGCGCGCAGAATGAAGCGGCTTTGGGTGGGATTCAGCGCTGTGGAGCAGCAGGGAGCAGACCCCTCCGCTCCTGAGCGCAGCAGCCGCGGGGAGCGGGGATGCTCTGCCCGGCATCCCCCCCGAGCCGGGAAAAGCCCTTCCCACGGCAGCTGAGCCTGCGGGGAAGCGCAGCAGCGAGCGGCAAGGGCAGCGGGAGCGCACGCCAGGGCGGTTTCCCTCGCTGCCGAGATAATTCCTCCCCAGCCCTGAGAGCAGCGTGCTCCCCGGCTGAGAGCGCGGCCACACAGGCCTGGGCTCTGATTTACAGCCTGCCGCTGACGGGGCTGCCGGCAGGGAAAGTGCTGAGGTGGGAGAAAAGGAGCGGCACGCCGGGAGGAGCGCCGGGGCGGCTCCGGGAGCCGGGCCCGTCCCGCCTGGGCTGCGAGCGGAGCGGCTCCGGTGCCGGGGCGGCGGGGCACGGAGGAACCCAGTGTCTGCACAAACCCTTCTGCCTGTCCCCCATTCCCCAGGCTCGTCCTGGCCGTCCTGCCCTGCTTCCAGCCCGCTGGGCAGAGGGAAGCTGAGCGAGCCACCGCAAAACGTCTGCAGCCCTATAAACTGACACCGTTGTTTATAATATTTGTAAGTGCCATTGCGTGCTGATAGCTGCACTCTGACAGAGAAAATTTACTTTTTTCCTTATTTTTTTAAATAAAGTTGGGATGTTGCACGTCCCCCAGAAGATGCTTTGGCCATTAGCCTGGGTTTGTTTGTTTTTCTGCTTGCCCGAGGTGACACAGGGAGGGCCATGTCCTGCTGCTGATGTTCTGGCACTGTCACAGCACCCACAGAACCCACAGCACGGTGCTGGGCTCACCCTGAACCAGACAATCTGAATCCCTGCTGGTACCAGGCTGGCAGCCAAAATCCCAGGACAGAGGCTTTTACCAGCCTTCCTTCCTTCCTTCCTTCCTTCCTTCCTTCCTTCCTTCCTTGCTTGGATTTGAGGGATGGGAATGAAAAGCTGTTCATCTAGGGGATGAAATCCCTCCGTGCACCCTTCACATCCCAGGGATGAAGCCACGACTTTGTCATCACTGTTTGTGTGCAAACACTCCTCCATAGGAGTCAGGGACTTTGCTGGGGGCTCTGCAATTTCCTCCAATCCCCAGTTTGCTTATATTGTGCTAAAACCAAACAAACAATCCCTGAAAGGCAGCAAGAGCTGCAGGAATCTTCTAAAAAAAATTGCAGCAGGGATTTATCAGGGCTTCAGCAGGGATTCTGTGAAGACGCTGAACCTACTGATGGGCACCCTCCAGAGCACCCAAGGCTGCTTCCCATGGTCAGGGATGGGGCTGACACTTCACTGACCTGTCCATCAGCTGAGGCACGACAAATCATGGAATTATGGAATCACAGAACATGCTGGGCTGCAAGGAGCCCACGAGGGCCATCAAGTCCAGCTCCTGGCCCTGCACAGCACAAACCCAAAACAGGAAACAAGGCAGAGGAAGTTTCTAAACACACTGAAGGTGGTTTAGGGAAAGAGGTTATGAAATGCAATTAAAGGTTTTATAAAGGGTCCTGATCACACTCCTTGGTCACTGTATGATTTTGATCACAAATCAGAAAATGAGCTGGAGAACTGAAGGGAAGGGAATGGTCAGGAGGGCAGTGGACTGGTATGGAATCAGTGTGGACATAAAAGCGAGTTTGTAACAGCAACCAAGCCATGACTGAGGCACAGAAAGCACCTCAAAATATGGACAAGCTAATTGCAAACCCCGTAAACACTGAATGCAGCACAAGCATTGTGAGTCTGACACTTGGCTTCTCCTGCTGAGCTGCTGGTCCAGCTCCACTAAGCCAGAGATTCCCTGCTCCTCTTTTTGATACGCATCACTCTCGTTTTTCCATGTTGCTGGACACAAGAAGGAAAAGTCCCCTGAATGAGCCGTCAGGGCGAGCCCCTGGTTGCTTTCCCAGCTCCTCCCTGAGCCGCTCCAGGCACCCGGGGGGAAAACAGCACAGAGAAGGAAAATGCTGCAGTTTGGGGGGATGAACAGACCGTGGAAAGGCCCTCGGTGTGAGTCCTCAGCCAAGAGCTGCCCGAGCTCTGTCACTGTCCCATGCCCGGGGCCAGACTCCCAGCCCCGCGTGGCTCCACGGCATGGGCCCACTTGGCAGACATCCCTCTGTCCATTACCAGTTAATGCAGTGGAACTGGCTGACAATGGGCTCAGAGGCTGCCAAAATCCAGCATGAGGGCTGCAGATGTCCCTGGGACCGGCAAACCCTGCTGGAAGATCCCCGTGGAATGAAAGGTTACCCTCAATTTGCTTCAGATGCTGCTCGCTCCATCCCACAGCCATCGGGAGGAGGGGCCTCCATCGCAGAGAGAAGATAAATCCAGCTCTGTCTCCAGACTGTTATTGTCTCCTCTGGTTCAAATTAAGGGACTCGGGTCATTTTTTATATGTTGCCGTTTGTCTTTTACCTGAGGGCATTGCAGAAAGGAAAAGAGAAAAGGTGAATCCGGCACGAAAGAAGGAAGGAGCAGAGTCTTTAGCAGACAATTAACTGAGCTGACATCGGGCTCTCCCTCGACACCGAAGTGGAGATTAAACGCAGGCAGACACAGCTGATGCCTTGCGGGTGGGTCAGCGATAAATCAGCACCAGTGGCCGTGGCTGCACGGCAGCACCCAGCCCTGCTCACAGGGGTGTCACAGCCCTGTCCCCAGGGGTGTCACAGCCCTGCCCCCGGGGATGTCACAGCCCTGACCCCAGGGGTGTCACAGCTCTGACCCCGGGGGTGTCACAGCTCTGACCCCGGGGGTGTCACAGCCCTGTCCCCAGAGGTGTCACAGCCCTGTCCCCGGGGGTGTCACAGCCCTGTCCCCGGGGGTGTCACAGCTCTGACCCCGGGGGTGTCACAGCCCTGACCCCGGGGGTGTCACAGCCCTGACCCCGGGGGTGTCACAGCCCTGTCCCCAGGGATGTCACAGCCCTGACCCCCAGAGCCCCATGGTGCCACGGCCCTGGGAATGCCCTGGCACAGGGAGAAAAAGCATTACCTTGCTCTGAATTTTCCATGCTAGAAAGAAAACAAAACAACTGCTGCAGTGGAAATATAGAATGAGATTTAGACCTGTGATCTCTGCTGCTTTTATCAGAGCACAAGCAGCTCTATCCCAAAGCAGTCTCTTCTCAATGTATTTGGTGATTTAATTAAAACAAGAAAAGAGATTTTCTCTTTGTCAAAAGCAAATTCATCTCATGTTTCCACTGAAAGAAAATGTAAGCTTTTAGCAAACAACAGTTTGATGAAAATCTGTTACTCCTGGCCTGTTTGGAGCACTCAGGGAGAGCTCCATCCCCACACCCAGCACTCGACCTGGCTAACCACAAACCACACGCCTGCCTTGGGTCAGGCTCCTTTTTTCCAGCACTCTGATTATTTTTTCTCCTGGGGATAGGGCTGGGAAGGACTCAGCCTTCAGCTCAAGACAAATCCTGCCCTTTCAGTAAAGTGTAATAAACTTCTTCCCCTGACACATAGGAAAATGTTTTAAGGCAAGACTTTATAGAGAGCATCAATCACTTTGGAGGTGATGGAATTGCTGCAGAATTATAAGCAAGTCTGAAGTGTCTACAGAGGACTCTAAACACTGTCTTCTATTTATTCTCTGTGTCCTTTGTAAATGTAAACTTCTGTGGAGTTCAGAGGCCCTTCCGTCTCCACAGCCTGTCAATCCAGCACCTTTCACCACCGCTAAAATCACAATTAAAAAAAAGGGGGATTACAAAAACAAACACAGAGCTCGCGCGCGCGAGTGATGGCTGCGGACTGTTGTGGGAGCTGGGATCCTGCCCTGCCCGCCCCTCCGGGCCCTGGGGCAGGGCAGCAGCCCTGGGGCTGCCTCCTGCAGCCCCCCGGAGCAGGGCAGGGGCACTGGGACCCCTCCTGCAGCCCCCCGGAGCAGGGCAGGGGCACTGGGACCCCTCCTGCAGCCCCCTGAGCAGGATGAGATCTGGGAGAAGACAGGATGGAGACCCAGCTGGATGCAGGGTGAGTTTCTGCCCCTGCTGAGCGTGGGCAGGTTCTTATCCCCCCAGACACAGCCAGCAGGAAGGGTCACGGTGCCCTGGTGCACAAACAGCCTCGGGGCTCTGCAAGGCCCGAGCAGATCGTGCAGAGGACAGGGCACTGACAGCGGGGTGTGGGAGAGCCATCCCAGCTGGAATGCTGCTGGGGGAGCAAGTGGGAAGTGACTTTTTCTTCCACGGAATGAAAAAGGAGATAAAAGCTCTATAAAGTTGGAAGATAATCTATATTAAAAACTTCTCTTTGACAAAATAGCTGGGAAAATTACTTTATACATTGAAATATTCCACAGCTGCTCCAGGGGGAAACTTGTGTCTTTTGAAAAACACCTTCCATGAGAGACTTCCTGTGACCCTGCAGCATCCTGATCCCAGCACCCTGGACACAGAGGCTGCAGTGTTTTACCCCTGCCCAGGAAATAAACAACTGGGAGCCTTTTGGCTATTTGCATTAGCAGAGTTTTTGGTAGGTGCAAACAGCTCTACACAAAACTGCACACCCACAAGCATCACTTTAACATCACGTTAAAGAGGGAAATTCCTGCGAGGGTCAGCCCATGACCCACCTCACCTGTGCCCGAGGGACAGTCCTCGTCCCACTCCAGTCCATGTGGCACTGGCTCTTGCCAGCATCTCTCAAAAGCCCTTTGCCACAAACCCACGTCAAGACGCAATTATTTCAGCAGAAAAGCAGCATGTTGGAGGCTCCCCTGTAACACCTCACTACGTGATGCTGACAGCCAGAGCTCAGAGAGGTAACGCGGGGCATCTCCTGATGCTCGCTGCGACCCCCATCCCCTGCCGGGCCGGGGTCTCAGAGCTGGCACCCGGCGCATCTCCCGCAGGTGTGCGCCCCTCCCGCGGGCCGGGACCGAGCCGGGCCGGGACCGAGCCGGGCCGGGACGAGCCGGGCCCGTACCCAGCACAGAGCCCGGCCGGTACCGAGCCGGGCCGGTACCCAGCCGGGTCAGTACCCAGCACAGAGCCCGGCCGGTACCCAGCCGGGCCAGCCGGGCCCGTAGCCAGCAGGTAGCGCTGCGGGTCCGTCCCCGGCTCCGCCGCGCCCCGCGTCCGCCCCGCGCTGTCCGTCTGTCCGTCTGTCCGTCCCGAGCCGCAGCAGCGGGCACCGAGCGGGCTGCCCAGCCTCTCTCCGCTGTCCGCCGGGACCCCCGGGGTCTGTCCCGGCCCGTGTGGGGTCCCCGGAGCGGGGCCTGTCCCTGGGGCTCCTGCTGGGAGCCGCTGCCAGAGCCTGCGGGCAGCGCAGGGAGCGCGGCCGCGATCGCAGCGGGTCTTTCTCGCTCCAGCATGCTGAAACATTCCAGCGGCCGCGGCATTCCTGCCTCCTGGCTGCCCTGGAACAGCTGATCCCTGTAGGATCGCACCCGCAGCCTCTCCCGGGCTGACCCGCAGCATCCCAGCCCGCCCCGGCCTCCCGCCCTGCTGCGCCTGCTTTGTTTGCACTGAAGAGTTGCTGTAGCAGAAGTGCAATTCCAGCAAAAGCTGGCAGGGAATCCAGGGGCCAAGTCCGGAGTAAATTCTGATAATGCTGTGTTTACATCAGGAATTTCTTTGGCAGATTAATCACATGAATGAAGGAACAGATGGGAACTGGCTGCAGACACCGTAACGGGAATTCCAGCGCAGGGCCAGGCTGGCAGCCCGGCCCTGGAAGCGCCACTGCAGGAAGCAGGGATGGGGTCAGACAGGGACCACTGCTGGAGAAAAGCAGCACCCAGAGGAGAACTCTCCTCCCAGAGCCCGTGGAGAGCAGCCAGGCCAGCAGCTCGTCCCCCAGCACACGCCAGCCTGTCCTTCCAAGGCTCGGGACATCCAAGAAACGAGGGGTGTCAAGGGCACCATTTCAGGAATGGTGTCACGCTCCTGCTGCCAGCCTCACCCTCACCACCTGCTGGTTCTACCCGCTCTGGACTCAGGTTGCACTCGGGATTTGAAAGTACACAAGGTCAGAATTGCCCAGGAGCAGGTGACCAGCGCGGGCACAGTCAGTCAGTGCAGGACAGACACAGCCACCAGGACAGACAGACACAGCCACCAGGACAGACACAGCCACCACCACGCCTGCCTTTTATTTCCCAGCGGCTGGGATGCCAAACCTCCCAGACTGGGGGATTATCCCCACAGTCAGCCACTCAGGAACATGCCCCGTGCCTGTTGAAACAGCCCTTTGCACCAGCTGTGCCCGTGTGCCCGGGGAGTGACAGGCTGCCAAGGCTGCTACAGGGCAGGGGGGACTGAAACAGCCCTTTGCACCAGCCCGTAGCTGTGCCCGTGTGCCCGGGGAGTGACAGGCTGCCAAGGCTGCTACAGGGCAGGGGGGAGCAATGTGCTGGGAGCAGAGTGTGGGCAGCCCTTCGCTGGCCACAGAGGGCTGTTTGTGAGAGGCAAAGGTCTTCCTACGAGCTGCTCCTTCGTTCAGAACTGTGTGATCACCTTACAGTGCCTGTGCCCCTCCGGAGAGCTCAGAAGCCAGGCACCCGGGTGGGCAGTGAGCAACCAGGAGTGCTCGGGGAGGATGTGGCTACATGTGCTTCACGTGGGTCTAACATTCCCACAGTGACATCTCCAAAATCCTTCAGGGATAAATTGGTTGCTGGCTGATTTGCAAAGCATTCAGGCAAAATTATGAGGAGGGAGGTTGGTGGGGAGCCAAGCGCCGGCCCCGCGGGAGGCTGCGTGCCTGGGGGTCACTTGGATGCTCATCCCAAGGCCCTGGGCAGCTCAGCCCGGGCCCCAGGGGCTGACAGCCTCACACGGCAGCCAGCAAACGTGGAGCAACCCACCCTGACAAAGGGCTGAGTGCCCTGGCGCTGCTGGGTAAACAGGACCATGGTGAGTGCACACAGCAGGGCCCTGGAGGCATCTCAGCATCTTCACAAAACCCCTGTGACTGCGAGTGGCACCAGAAGGGACCCAGAGCACAGTGCCCGCTGCCAGCCCCACAGCCCTGGGCAGGGACAGGTTTGGTAGGCAGGATTTCGACAGCCAAGGGGGAATTGGTCATCAAAAAAAGCCAGGTAAGACAGCAAAAAGCCCTCACCATGCTTTGCATAGCCACAACATACTCCACACAGACCAAAGCAGTGGCCAAGGGCACCCATCCATCTCCTCCAGCCCACCCTGTCTGGAGGTGACGTGGAGTTCTGGGCTCTGACAGGGCTGGAAAGCTGTTGCTGGAAAACCTGAGATAGGAAGAGAAATGTCGCCCCAAATTTATTGTATTTACTTTCTCCAGTGTTTTCAGAATTTTTTAGTCTTCAATAGTTTATATTATACACATTTATCAGCTTTCCTTCAGGCTTTTAACCCCAGATTCACTGTCTCAGGTTATAGTGGGAAGTGATGAAATGGGCATTCCTGGAGCATCTGCTCA